GGAGGGAAAGGGGGAGGGGGGGGAAGCCGGCAGGCGCCGGGGGGACGGAATGGAGGATAATCAACTTCTACAAATTTCGGATGGCTTACCCGCCCATGCCAGTGTTCCAAGTCTCTTTGTGCACGGCCTGGACCCGTTCTTTAGAGGGTCTTCAGAGCACGATGGCAGTGCCCAGCATAGGGTCACACCACTCGAAGAGGTAAGCCACGTTTTCTGCTCATCTGTCAAGCGGAACGTTAGACCATCGATGTCCGAGGATGCCAACGTTAACTTCGATATACCGTCGACGGGGGCTGTAGTTGCGTCCAAATACATTTGATCCGACGCGCTCTCAGGACAGACGACATTGCCTTGTAGTGCATACACGCTTGAACCTTGCTCGAGGTGTGGCTTCTGAGGTGTGTGCGCAGCAACATTCAGTTAGGAGCGCGGGGTGACCCGCCAAGCACCGAGACGCATCGCCCTCGTGATTATCACAGCAACTGCTACCAGCGCTCATTAAGAACCGGAGACCAACATCAGTAATTATGCTTAGCATTCATTAATTCATCGTGACAAAGCAGAATCTTGCGAACTGAAGGACCCACCAAGTTGGGGAACGCATCGAATGAAGGGCTAGTTTCGTCCTCCTCAGGAGTGCGGTTGTCAAGAATGTAATACTTGGAGACGTTTTCAGGAACAAGTTTAACTTCACACGGCTCCTTGTCACCATTTGAGCAAACCTCCTCCCCACCAAGAAGCTCTGCAGGAGCGGAAGATCCTGGAGTGTTGCCCACATACTGCCTAAAGATCAACGTGACAGATCACAGAAGAAGCTTATCTTCGTTTTAGTGCAACTTTGACTCCTGCAGGTCCTGTATCAGCTGCGGCAGCAGCAGTTGACCTCTCTGGCGTGAGGCCAGCACCTCCGGGGCTGAAGTGTTGCTACGAAGGCGGTAGAAGCTTCTCGCAGTACTAGTACCGGGAAAACATTCCACATAAGGAAATGTTTGACTTACGGTGTACCGAAGATCGCCAGACTAGTGTCTATAGCCACAATGCACAGCTTCCGGCTATCAGTTGGTAACTCCGTAGAATACGTCAACTCAGTTAGAGAGTTCCCTTCATTCCACGCTGACTGGTGAGGCATAATAGCAGCCGCCCGTAGCTGCTCCTCAGTAGGCGTCTGGCAAGTGGCAGTTCCATCTTGATCTTCGATCAGCAAAGCCATCGACCGGTTATCTTCCATGCTTTCTCGAGCGCCCACAGTCACCTGAAAGGTGCAACTGGTAAGCTCCGTGCCCGCGCAGACGACTGCTTCATCTAAGGAGACGACCACATACCAACACACGAGAGCAGCTACCCTTCTAACCGGGAATGAGGCCTCCGAAACAACACACGCTCAGCCAGCCTCTAGGAAGTCTCGCCCCATGTAAGCCATGCAACCTTCCTCAATGCTGACAAGTGTACCGTCAACGTTTCCCTGTCTACGCATACTTATCTCAGAGCTGCATTAGTAGGGGGAAGGCTCACCGACAATGGAGAGTACGGGCAAGACCTCGATGACGCCTAGGTACTCAGAGTATGCGGAAGGGTCATTGTTAGGAGCGATTTGAGGGTTCCAGCAAATCTGATAAAGTCCTGGAGATCCCTGGGGAGCCCAGAAAGAAATGCTTTCATCAGAGACAGAATTGTTTTCATTGGAGATAGGGCTGTTTTCATTGTAGGTAGAGCCGTTAGCATTGGAAGGCTCGTTTCCTGGTCCTACTTCCCGTCCTTGTATACCACCAACTGTTCTGTTCCTTACTCTAACTTTAGTGGACAGCTCAACCATCACCATACTTTCGTTCGCTAAGGCACCGTTCTCTACGCCTGTTACAGCAGTTCTTGAATCTGAACCAACAGCCACACGAAAGAAATTGCAAGCATCTCCACAGGTAAGGCAAGCGCTTCTACACTAGCTCCACGTGAAGTGCCGCTTGCGCAGCACCACACGGGAGTGCACATAGCTAGGTGCAACACTTCGAGAAGTACGGAGAGGCCGCTTCCCATGAAAGCAGCTAAGCAAGTAACCATCAGCTGGCATATTTGGCAGGATACGTACCGGTGCAGCGATACGTGCCCAAAAGCTTCCTTGCTCTCCTTTCATCACAGGTGTCCGGCACAGTCACCTGGACTGTTGTACTGGTGCCTCCAGTGGATTCGAAAGACCCATAGCCCACGGGCACGAAGAAACAAGTCCTCTTGCCTTTGCATTGGACGTTCAACAAATCCGTCAAATCCACATCCCCGCAGATTCCCCGAGTATCCACCCACTTGGCCTCCACAAACACGGGAACCGTACCCTGCTTACAGCGCGTGCGGAAGACGTTGCCAGGGAGTGCCCAGAAATGGACTGAGAGAGAAGATCCAAGCACACAACCCGACTACAAATTGGCACCTGCCTTGATCACCACGAGACCCACAACTACAAAGGTGAACAGTTACTCCTCCCTGCACTTCTCCACTCTCTAACGTTCAAATGATTCAACGGGACCAATAAATGTACAGACCCGTGCACATTGAGTAAAGCCATACCGGGCTCCGTGTCTTCCTCTGTCAGAAGTCCCCTAGAGGTGTGAGAGCCCAAGATGAGGAAGCTAGAATCCCCAACCGTTGCCGATCGAAGTTGCGCAGTCCCGAGGCCCTTGGCCTCTCCGCATTTAGTCAGAATAGCCAGCCTACTGATGGAGTGGTCTAGCTTCGTCAGGTTCTTCCCTTGAACAGTTATTGGGCAACCACCGCCATGAGAGCAATGCATCTGTAGGGGTTTCCGCGAATAAAGCGGTCCTAGCCACAGCGCTCGACCTAGTTTGGTCGAAATGCGAGTGCCATCATCCCTCCAGCATATTGTGGCGGAGCCGTTCTCAGATAGCCAAGCTCTCCCAGAGGCAAAGCTGTATGTCGCGTACTCCACCACCTCACCGTCAGGTAGTGGCTCAACTGGAAGACGCAACGGCGAGCTAAAATTCGACTCGGAGACATCTAATCCCACAACACTCTCAAAGAGAGAGCTGTCTTCGTTCGGGCACTCAACCTCCCCAGGGAGCAAGAACACACTGCTCTGCTCTGGAAGGATCCAGGGCTGCAACAGCATTGACAGCAGAGATCCATACTGTACAAGGCAAAAGTGCAAGTCCAGCTTAAATAAGACAGACGGAAAGAAGCGAAATCGGGGGGCGTCCGCTAGGCGTCTACTGCCCTATGCCAAGCTCTGGCTTTTGTTTACGCACTGACCTCATTGAAGGGAAACAAGGCCGGGTCTTTTGGTGACTCAGCTGTCACGCTGAAGATACAGGCAGACGAATCTGTAGTCGCCGACATGCACGGGACAAAGCCTAAGGCAAGGGCAGTAGTTGATACGGAGCCTCCAAGCCGTCCAGCGACAGGCCCAGAGACGCTTACAAGGGGTGTCCTGCGTGGAATGCGGAGCAAAACGCAAGTTCACAGAGTGAAGCGTGAACGGACGAGTCAGGGTGCAGAGTATACTCATGAAGCACAACAAAACATATTTGGTCTGCGGTGGTCCAGCAATGAGTCTGCGGCCACCTCACCAGGTTTTCCTGATGGGTATGGAATTCTCTCCAACAACCACCGTTGTCCAGCAGAAGGTATTCGGTTCTATATCAGCCTGTATCTCGAAGGACATTATGGCCACTGTTGCTTCCGTTCCATCGGCTCCTGTTTCCTCAGATGAGCCCTCCTGACGGTTGTGAATCACCACCTTCTCGAACGTCGCTTCTTGTGTCTGGCTCAGGGTCACGGGCTTGCTGCTGCTGCTACAGTTGGAGCCATCCGTAAAGGCTTCAACGCTTATGCTGCACCACAGACCTTGCTTTGGAACCCGTCCACCGAACGCCTCGACCATTGTCGCGTCCAACAAAGCGCTTACTTGAATAACCACACTCGCGGAATATGGGGACTTCCTAGAAACCGTGCGCGCTGCGACAAAGGCAAAAGATTTCAGAAACCCTCCACTAAGATTACGCAAACATGACGGCACTTCTAAATGCAGAGCTTCGACTCAACACACAGCTCGTGTTAGCCTCGCAATATCGTGTAGAATGTATGAAATCCGGTATAGACCCTGCACGTTTTACATGTTGGGGCCTACTGCTGCCCGCACCTCTCACAACTGGTAGAGGCAGAAAGGAGATGCTGGACAATGCGATGTCAAACTGTTCCCTGAATGAGGTGGAGTCGGCATCCACAGGGGAACCAGGAGAAGCCTGAGTATTCCAGCACAACTGGTATCCCCAGCCCACCGTGGCAGGAACTAGGAAAGTTGCGGATCCTTCCTCTGCACCAATGTTCTCAGCAACAATCCACGGGGTAGTGTTGGCATCCTGCAAATTCATCCGGATACAACCACAGAGAAAAGAAAAACTTGCTCCGGAAGTTGTGCTGCCTCTTGTGAGGCATGCACGCTTGCAGCAAATAAACCTTTGCGACCTTGTGCACGCCATAAGGGTTCCGATTGCTCGTTTTGTACAGGAACGCACGCTGCAGCTAGTGGAAAGCGCCAAACGGGGCATGCTATAATCCAAAGAAGCCATTTCGAAGCCTGATATGGTGAGTCGGCAGCGCCCAGCCTCCAACTTCTCGCACAGGTGCTCCGTGAAGGATGACCGAGCAGGCCCGATCCACTTGGCACTCCCCAGCTGCTTCACACAAGGCTTAGATTCGGGGTTTGTACAGTCGTCGTCTACTATGCACAGAGCTGCAGACCCGCGCTGCCCAAGAAGACTGGAAGTCCGGTCAAGTGTAATAGTCACCGTATTTGAAACGAAGCTGCTTACTACCTTTTCCGAGGTAAGCCCCTTTTCGTCTGAGGGAGTGCTAAAGCTGATCTCCTCAGGCCTCAAAGGACACGCATCCTGGGGAACCGCTGCCACGCTCACATTTGGAGGGATCAAAAGGAGCTGAGATACACACCAAACTCAGAGGGCATCTTTGCATACTACCAGGAGGTAGCCGTTTCCGCATTCACTGCATTTGATGCAGGCTACGAACAGTCTCCAAGTAGATCACAACAGCCAGGATACAGCGAACGGCTGGCTTACATTTTGCAGAACTTGACCCTTCGCGTCTAATGCTGCGCTGGTGTTTAGTGTTCCGGTCGCCGTGCAGCTGAAAGCTGCGTCGACGCCGCATATGGCTTCAAGATTACTGGAGGGTACCTCGAATCCTGGGAGCCTCCCAAGGTAGGTCCTGAGAGAGTTACAAGCATGCCTCAGCTCTCAGGATTTAGGATGCAAGATTATTAATGCAGTGTTAATGGATCCCTTGAGTCTCGGTTAGACCACGCTAATAAGCAGCGCGACAATACTGCATGTGCACCTGGCTGTTGCGACATCCGTTGAACTTACGAATACGCAATATCGGTTGTGAAGCTGGACGGTGTGAGGAACTGGGTCCAGCAAACAGAGGAAGCTTCATGTTGGACTGAAGCAACAACAGTGCCTAAGCTACGCCCATCATCTGTTTCCGTGGCCCCCGATATCGACATGGAGGCCGTAATCGTTCCTCCCTCCGCGTCCGATGAGAAGTTGCAGGAATCCACGTTCTTCTCCGTGGGGGCCCTCTTAAAGTAGATTTTGGTGGACCCCAAAAACAAGAATGGATCCAGCTTAGCTGAAACATCAAGCGTCACGGCTTTGGGTGAGTGTTCAAACAACCCTGGAGGTAGCTTCACAGCTGCAGCGAACAGGCAAGCACAGCATGCAAAGTATTCACGCATCCGCATGCATCACCACGGTCACCACGGTTCCTTGGTAAGGGGTATTTAAGACACCAGGCATGCAATGCCGAAACGCTTATATTATTGAGTGATAACGTTTAGCGTGTGCTCCTGAATAAAACTTTGTGCACCCAGGGGCCTTACGAACGACCCAGTTTTCTGCTTCTGTCAGTCCGTAAGTGCAACCAATTGTATGTGATTAGGATCCCGTCCTCTCATATCTTTTCTGCTGTGTGTCCATTCCCTTTCTTCTCTGTCCACGTCTCTCTCCTAAAGTGTACTGCTGTATAAGTAACTGTTCCCGTATTCTGGCAAGCATGAGAGCACGGTGGCACCTGCTAGGACCACTAAGAAGGCAAGAATAGGGAAGAACACATCTAGCACAGTGTTTCTGCCTCACATTGTAAGGAGGGCCTGGGGAGGAAGATAACAAGGCCTACTGAGACGGTGTGGTCCAGCAGGTTGTGCACGGAGCCCACTGAAGGGTTCCAGCACAGCTCCAGGCTCCCCCGGCTGATGGTCGTGTTCATCTCGAAGCGAAGTGCAGTCGAAGTGTGCCGAGCAGGAGAGCTCCTCGCTTCCAGAAATGCGATGCTCGAAAATTGCTCTCCAACGGGCTCCTGCAGGGCCTCCACGGAGGCAGACCCTGAAGGTGCACATTAACTCCCCAGCAAGCACTATCTATGCTGTCGCGACAAGAAAAACGGCGAGATCTCCAGGTGCACCCCTCACGCCCCCCCGATAGAGTTTCCAATGCAAGGCAGCATTGCCTGCACGCACACCGTGGTACTCACCACCAGCCAAGTCCGTAACCTCCTGAGCATGCATGCCTGCGGTGGAGATCTGCAAAAAGCTGGAGTGATCCGAAGGCAAAGACAAGTCAACGCCCCCAAAGTCACCGGAAAGAGGCAGGCTCCCTTCCCCTGAGACTTTCTGAATAGACGAGCACCCAGAGCAGATGCAGATGCAGATGAATGAGTACAATTCATGCTTGGGGAGATGCAACTGCAGCTGTATGTGCCTGCACCCATGCGAGCACCGACCGTTTACCGCTGCCGGCTTCTTTGGCAAGCAGGTCTACATGAGGTAACACAAACAGCGAAGCCCCGTTTACGGAGAACCTAGGCACTAGGCGCCACAGATGGGGAAGGTTTTTCGCTCTCCAGTGTTAGTATTGAGGCTGCTCAGGTCCATCAATGAGACAGCCGCTCACCCCACAAGTGTCAAGTGCAGCTAGACGACTGTAGTGCATGCTGAGAAAGTTCATGTTTATCCCGCGGATCTCGATACTGCATGTTTGTCCTTGTTGGCACAGGAAGAACTGTTCATAACCCGACGTTGGACCTGTAGCAGTGCAAATCAGCCTCAGTTGGAGGCCCTGATCATTCGGGTTCACCCACAGGGGTCATTCGCGCCACGCACGATCGACCGAAGTTTCCCAGCAACAACACACACAACCTGCACACGTGCAGCCCCTCAACCCAGCCGGAAGCCAGCATGCAATGCAGCTCTACTGCTGCACTTCCCTCTGCTGAGGCACGCTTACCTGTCCACCGCATGTAGCCAAGACGCTCAGTGCATCGCCCACTCTCCCAGCATTTCTGTGTTGGATTTTTCAGTCCCTCTTGAGTCATGCAGATGGTGGCAATTTCGGCGTTGGCAACCCATCGTTTCAGTTCTGGTGCCACGGAAAAAATTAGCTTGAGAGAGTCTGCATGCGTCAAAGTCATCGAGACAGCGCCAGCGTCTACCAAAGCCTTGCTGTCCTGCGCATCCCCCGCGAAGGCTTCAAATGCGGGATCTGAAGGATCAAGAGGGCACTCCACTTTGCCCTTGAGCAGCTTCACAGCCAAGGTGTTCGGGTAAAAAGCTGCCTGAAGCACCAGAACCACTAGCATGTACATGAATCTAGTCACACTTGAGTGCAGGCAAGGGTATGAACTGGCATCTCATCTCATCCTTCCTGAGTTCGTTTAACCGTGCGGAATCGCCTGTAGCAATGCCCTCAGGCCTCCAGCTGAAATCCCCCCTGAGGCAGCATCAACAAAACGTTTGCGCGTACCCCGTTAACAGTAGTTGAGTCCGGGTAGAGGCCAATGACGCAGTCTCCCTTAGGGGCCAACGAGCAGCGGCCCTCCCCAGCGGAGATCCTTTCAGGCCGCGTGGGCAGGGGGGCTTGTCCCAGGCTAAGAACATCAGTGAAGTATTCGCTGACGGTGTAGAGGAGACAGAGTTTAGAGCGGACTGTGGGAGCAGGAATTGTGAATATCAGCAGCTGCTGCTCCTCGTCGAACTTGCCGGAATAGGTGCCACCATCAATCTCCGTGGTCATGGTGAGCCGCATGCTGCAAACCCTGTCTCTCACGCTCTCTGCTTCGACCACCGCCAACACCACGTCCTCTGTTAAGTCACTCGAGGTGAAGCCCTCCACAGCCACATCTAAGAAAGCATTGTTTATCCTCTCGTCGGGAAAATTCACAGTCACCTCTGTCAAGCGCCAACACCGCACCGTATGTGTATGTACAAATATGCGCAGGAGACTTACACGGACGAACCGTTATCAGCTGCCAGCGTGCATCTTCCTTAAACGACTGAGTGACTGACGTGGCAGGGGTACGGCTTATTCTATAGTTGTTGCACTGAATGTTAATAGGGGGCCCAGCGGGAACCAATCTCTAGGAAACCTCTTCTGCTGGAAGGCTAAACCAGTGGCACCTAATGGGTGTACTAAGCCTCACGTTTCAGCCCGACGTCCCACCAACCTTTGAAAAACGCAAACAGACAAAGGCACACAAAAAGCTTCCACATATGAAGACTGAGTCACTGTAGAGTCGACACGGGGAGCCTGAGACACCCAGGTGGGGCTGCAAGGGCTGGGCAAAGTGGGTGGTTTAGGAGACTGAGGTGAACCGGAGCTAGCATCCCCGGTATGTACCCACATCTCCCCGCGTCGAGGCGCTGCGCGTCTCAGCAGCAGCCGCAGAGACAGGGGCTCGACCTGTCCTTGGATGTATGACTCACTTGTTTGGGCGAAGCTACTAACGCCTTCTGCAGAAAGCACAGGGCACAACAACGGAACGTCAAGGGAAGAATAAATGGGATGGAGGACAGAAGGCACACACAAAGGGGCGAATGTACCGCCATATAGTGGTGTTACTTAATTGGCAACTTCATGTGCTGTCGTGCGCCTCATCTGCGCTTCATTTTAGCCCATTACTGGATCAGATAATGAGACGTCCGAAGGGATGTCAACCCACCAGGCAACGCGACGAGCCCACGTGCAACCCTCGCTGAAGCCAGCACCAACAGCACAGAGCACCAACACGCATACGCATACAGCTTTGCGGCACAAGTGAGTTTAAACTGACCCCCGAGTTGGCTGCTGCGGCGGTGGAAGGGGACAAAGTGAGCTCACCTGAGGTTATGAGAGTCCCTAAAAGGGATCCGTTCCCGCAGATTGCGTACTTCAGGCTGGTGGGGAGGAACGAAGGCAACTCGACCTCTGCCTCCCCTTTAACCGACACCGCCATGGTGATCCCTGGCTGCGTGCACAGGCCTGCACTGTCTCCTGTCTCTTGTGCAACCGGGGCAATGGACAAGGCAACAGGCCTCTCTGTGGCTGCGGCACTTCGTAGGGTAAAGCGGCAGGAGCTATCGGTACGTCTTTGCGTCCCCACTCTACAGAAAACAAACTCGGGGCCAATCTCGTTTGTGGTCGCCTCCAGCCATACATCCGACGTCGCTGCTGCTGCTGCCCCGGCAAGCGGCCTCAAGGATATGGAGGGGAGAGCCAGAGTAGAATTCATCGTGGTTCCTTCCCTGTTTGAGGGAAAAGCACTGCGGCGGCGGTTGCCGCTGCTAAGTTGCAGCAGCGCACGCAAAAATCTAAACTCCTTCCCCTCAACACAGGAAACAGCAGTATCCCCAACCCGCACGGGCGAGCAGTAGCAGATCTCGTACACTCCAGCTGGAAGCTCTCGAATCCTGCTGTCCTGTCGAATGTTGATTTGAGTTTGCAGAGCCCAGGGACCAGCAAGAAGGGCCCCAGACCCGCAGAACCGCATCACCCCTAAGAAACCCAGGGGAAACGGACGCTCTTTGTGGGGTCGTCGCTCCACTGTCTCCCCCCACCAGTCCACAGCCGGCAGTTCCAGACTCAGCCAGCAGTCCTTGGCGTCACTGCAGAGTACCACCGGCAGGTCTCGTGCTCCTCGGTTCCCCTTAGACAGTATCCGAGGGCCTGAAACACACGGAGGGGTGCAAACCGAATCTGTATCGCCCCCTTTCCTCCAGTGAAGCTAATCTGTCAGATTCTCTTCACTCTTCTGCCAATTACACTACTGCAGAAAAGCCATCTCGAAGAGACCGGGTGTGGGATAAGCGCTGCACCGAACAGTCAACCTGTTTGTTGTCCATGGAGACAATGTACCTGTCCTGAGCCGCAGGGAGCAGACAGCACTGAGGGAGGCGTCACAACTCCGCGCCCGCAAACAGGGCGGCCCCGTCCCTTGTTGGGCAACAGACGCACAGTCCGCGAAGTTTGGGCCATCCAGTGATCGAGGCTGTCCATCGCAGAAGACAGGGTCCCATCTGCAGACGGTTGCATGCACCAAAAAAACAAAAGTTCATTTGCTATTGTTTCCATCTCAATCTGTTTCAGAGAAGTAGCCTGCAGTGAGAGAACTGGCACGAGGCCGCAGGTCAACTCAAAATATGGCAACTACCGCCGCTGGTGCTGGTCTGCAGACAGCAGCTGATCTTACTTGGGCCTCGGGTTTGCGTTCAGGACCGGCTTCCAAGGGGGCCAGCTGCGTGCAGGTGGGCAGGCGTCAACGATGGTACTTAGGCGGTTGCCGAGCTTGTCGGGAGAAGTCAAGGCAGCTTCAGGGCAATCTTCCTCTCTCCGTCTGCTTGCAGTCCCAACTCCAGGAACCACCAACGGACACTGCCCCGACTGAAACAAGCCCAGCCAGGACTCACCACCTCCTGAAGCCAATTCCTGCACTCAAAACCGAGAATCCGCACGTAAGCTGTGTTTTCACTTCTTGGGTTAAAGATGGAGCGGGCCCCACGTAAGATCACCTTTAGACTGATCAACTTTACATTAGACAAGCCGACAGCAGTCAGCCGATACACTTGCATAAGCGTGCCCCATCTTACTGCAACAAAATGAAACAATGGCCACTCAGAAGCTCGCTACCATAAGTCTGTGTCTGGCAAGCAATCAGCTAACGCAGCAGATCCTGAGGCCGACAGCCAAATGTGCGCCTCCAGCCTAAATCAGAGAATAGGCCCTTGAAGAAGGCCAAACGAGGCCCGGGGCCTGGATTGCGCTATTTCAAACAAAGCGACGGGCCTTTCAACAACACCATTGCCGTGGGTTCCCTCATTCCTCCCTCTGCTTGTGCAGCAATTTAAACTCGCCAGTGGCCCCACCTACACCGGATTCCAACTAACGCCTCCCTGTTTTCACTAGGCAACAGCAATAAAGCAGCACAAGCAGCACATTAGCTAGAGCAACAGTTGGAGTTGGGGAAGCAGCAACTCACTCCGACAAGCTTGAGTTCTGTGTCGCTGTCGATAACCGCAAGACTGGCGTCGTCATGGTCAAAACCGACTGCCTCTGCGAGGTCTCTGCAGTGCGCATTTGCCGAAAAGAAGTTGTTCCTTGCGGTGCCGTCTCGTCGTTCTTTCGTCCTGAGAAAGCACTTCTCCCCCAGTTGCACCGCCCCTCGCCAAGGGCAGTCACCTCCAGTTGGGAAGCCCTCCACACCTCTCGCTTGAGGGTACCGCGTAGCGTAGAACGCCACCTCCCAGAGGCCCCTGTCCAAACCTTGCGCGACCCCGCAGGGTGTACCCACGGTCACACGAGTTTGCAGCCGCAGCTCCTCCACTTTTGTATCCTCTGTCATCACATCTTCTTTGAATACCCGGTGAGCCACGCACAAGTCAAACCCCAGAGAGGCCCCGTCAAACGCAGGCGACGGGCGTGTCTCCACCGCCAGCACGTACAAGACGCCAATGGAGCCGGCGCAGGAGCGTCCAGGCACCATCCCAAAGCGCCCCGCCCTTCCGCCCTGCTGCCGCTGCTTCTCCCTGAAAAGGCAGATCGCCTGGCCTGTGGACCTCCCTGTCAGGCGTTGTATGAGTGGCAGCACTTCCTTTTCGTCTGCAGGTGCATAGAAGGTGTGGGTCACGGCCCAGCCCCTCCTCTCCCCTGCCTCAAGGCCCTCCCAAAACTCCCCTGGCACAATTGCCGACTCCGCCTGCTCCCCCATGGAGGCTTCAACACTACCCAGCGAACGGTGAATGATGTAAAAGCGCGCCGCACGGGACCGCCGCAACGCGTGCAGTGTCGAACTCTCAGAGAAACTCGTCTGCACAAGTGCAGGTGCTCGACTACCTGCAATGTGCAAACCACCGACACATCGAGTCCGCAAACCTTACAACCGTCCCCAAAAAGACTCAAAAGCTTTAAGACACTGTGCGTTCGATGAGGCAGACGTAAGGTCAAGGAAGGAGCACTCCCCCGCAACGAACATCTGGGAACTCCAGTCCACTTAAGCTTAGCCTAAACAGCACATCCACTAGCCTTGGGACTACCTCAGAGAATTACACTATACGCACATGCCGTATCCAGCAGATGCTGTTTCCTACAATGCTACTACTACCCCTGTTGCTGCTACTGTTGCTGTGTTTACTGGTGCTGCTGCTGCTCTTCCTTGAAAGCGTGGTCTCAGCAGTGATCTTCAGCCTAGTCGTTCGGGTGGAATGTCAGACGCCGCAATGCAGCTAGCCTACTTTCAAGCCCGATACTTCTAAATGTGCAAGAGGAGGGAGCCTCTTCCAGGAAAGAGTTCCACGAGACATCGCCTCGGCGGAGAAGGGTGAGCCAGGCAGCCATCCCACGGCGCAGGCAGTCCTCACTGCCGCCGCTGACCTCGAAGTCAGGCTGTTGCAGCGAAGGCCGCGTAAACACGCAGCGCTCCCTATAGACATGAGGGAACCAGCGTTCAGACCTATGCTCCATCAGGCAAGTGTAAGGGTCCGACGCCCCCTCGCAGGTGCCTCCGTGTCTGCAGCACGCAGCAGCAACACCAGCAGCAAGGCGAACACAGCTCGGAACATGTAAAGCGTTCCCTCAACCAGTGAGAGTCAAACGGTGAGCATACAGTCGAGAAAAGGTCAAGTAGTAGCTGCACGTGAGTCCGTATCCCCTGTTCAGCACAATCCCAGCTCCGCTACCGGGCATCGCTGCACACCACACTCAACGCCCTGCATGCAGAGCAAGGCCGCGTAAACACAGGCCCCACGGTCGGTGCAAAAGATAGAGTGGAAATGAGGGAGTTGGTGTATACTGACTTGTGCAAAAGGGCGCGGCAAAGACTGCGGCAGTTTAAAGCCTCCTCTGGGCTGACTATGACAGTGTCGTCTGCACTGATTTGTCTGTATACCGCACTACCGCAGTGTATGCCTGGGGGTTTTCCTTCCCCTTTCGCAGTAGCCAGGGCCCAGGCCTTCTTGCGCTCTTCAATTATTTCGAAGAGAGAAGAGACAGAATCTCCTGCATCTGCAAACAACCGCAAAAACTCAATTGGTTCTGCGTTAACAAGAATCCAAGGCTTGAATGAGCCACACCTTGCACAATCCAAACAAAAAACCTAGAGAAGAGTAGCCTCTTGGGTTCATCGCTGAGCACATCTCAAGCTGCTATTCGCACAAGCCCCGGGAAACTTGATAAAGTAGCTCCGGGGTAAACACACGGCAGAATAACCGCGAACGGAAGCAGGTGACGGCATTCTTGAATGTCCCACCTTTAACTGCTGTCCTGCGACCATATTCGCCGCCATTTGGGCTTGGTTCAACAGCAGACAAAACGCTAAGGCCACGCTGTTCTGCGTAGCCAGGTGAAAAGCTGTGGATAATCCCGATTACGACGCAAAAATAGACAATGAGGTGACGCTTGCAGCCCCATGACAGCAGCCTGCCGGAATGTTTTAGCTCATGGCTACAACGTGATACGCTTCCACCGTCAGGAATAGAAGCTGCTGCCTCCGCTGCAGAAGTTGAAGCCGGCGACGAAACCGCCGCCGTAGCAGCAGACGCCGCGTCCCGTGCTGCATTCGCAGCCGTCGCACGCCTGCTGCAAGGCACACCTGAGTATGTGACATCGTAAGGCATCTTCTTAAGGTTCATGCTCCATGGGCGCCTATGGCAAGAGGGGTCTAAAGCACTCGCTGTGCAAAGCGATATGGACAGCGACATAGGCAACAGCAGTTGTTGGCTGCGCGAGGTGCAGCCGTGATGGGGTTAGTTGAAGTAAAAACAGTACTTGGCAGGGAAACCTGCAGTGCAGCGTCAAGGAGAAAACGCGAAAAGCCGCTGGCCATCCGAAGCGTACATTGCTGCCTACGGCTTGCGTTCATAAACCTGCCAGTGGCGCTGGAGCCGTGTGCAGGAATGCGCGGAAGAAGGGCGAAACTCCATGTTTGCGGTCTTGCCCATACTCGGCTCCCCTTCCGACTTTGGGGGGTGAGCGGGCAGAACGAGGTGGGCCGCCGATAAGGCAGGACACCAGCAGGTCCTCGTGAGCTAGATGACTGTGGAAAGGTCTGCAGCGACTCTGTTCAGGTTCCCTGCTTCCCGCACTGCTGCACTGACGAGTAAAAAGCAGGCTTTCATGTGAAGACACAGTTTCAAGGGACTCAAAATGAAACAAAATTATTGTCGAGGATCCAAACCGCATGCAAAGGCCGTACACGTGATCGCAGCTGCATGACCACTTTTGAGCTCATGCGTCTGTTCAATAGATATTGACAAGACGCAACAAAGAGAGTAAGAGAAAAGAAGGAAAATAATCAACTACTTCTCCATTTTGGACCCGAAGGTATGCCTGAGGACACTCAGATCGCGTTGGCTCCTGCAGCCGCTGACGATTCTCGTCGTGGGCTACACAACCCAGGGAAAACGGGCTCTTGCAAAACTTGCAAGGAAAGAGGCTCATCAAAAACCATGCAGGATTAGTAAACTTCATTCACTTGGGGAGCAAAGCAAAAAACAATTTTATTCATCGCCCTCTCACCCCAAACACGTGGCCTTTGCAACTGTTTTGCACAGGTACACCTGTCCAGGCGGTCCACAACCTGCAACTCAGTATACGGTTTCACTGCTTGTGTAGAAATATGGGTTCCTAGTGAATTTTAAGTTGTGTTACAGAGAAGAGGGGAACCATAGATGGTGTAGCGTTACATTTTCCAATGCTTTCCACCGCACGCTTACGTTGATCCAGTGGTAGGTGTAGCATAGCCTGTCCGGTGGCAAGTCCGTTTGAAGTTCTCCCAAGAACCCTAACCCGGCCCTAGTAGACGAACGGTACTCACGCATAACTCCTCAACAAATATCTACGGTATTCATGGACACATCCAAAAAGTTTTTTGTCGCGTACTCTGCCCGATGTTGGCAACTCCGTCTGAAGTGGACACATTTCGTACCCATCACTAGGAGACAAACAGTACGCAAGCATGTCTCCAGCAATGATCTACGGCTCTCATGCATACAGCAAAGGCTCGTTTGTGCTTGCTTCTGTGGCTGCCCTGTCTTGAGTTGCAGCAAGGAGCGCTGCTACTACACTCAGGCCGTCTCGTGCCCTGCAGCTGTAGGCGCCGCTGTGCTCATTGTGCCTAGAGACTGGGGAAGAAGTTTCAACAAACTCTCCTCTCAAGTACTGTAACACCACTGTGGTTCACAATAGTCCCTCGATGACATTGAAGAACCGCCTTTTCAAATGGTAATACGACAAGGTTTAGGGAATGCAGCTGTATGCAACACGCTGCACCCCAACAGCAGGGAGCCCTGTTGTCCAGCTGAGTAATGCCAGGGGAGCTTTAAAAAATACGCATATGCAGGCAGTTATGTTTCAATCCTCCCGAAATCCTTGTAAAATGCCAGCCTTTCCCTTTTCTTGCACAAATGATAATGATAAGGATTTGCTGTGTTCTGAGCAGGCGACCAACGCCTATGAGCCTTGTCGAGTCCAGTTACATGCACTTTCTCCAGCCCTCCAACGATGACACACAAAATAAGATTGTTAAAATGAGTGCTCAGGAGACCAAATATCCATGCGGGCTTCAATGATCGTGCGCTTGCGCAAGAGTGCCTCACTAGCATCTAGGCACAACGGCAGAGACTACAGGCTTACATACCCGCGGCGTAGTGCAAAATTTAGGTGGTATTTTACCAATTGATTATGGATGGCGGCTGCCCTCTCGCTCTTTCTGCTCCAACGTTCGGAATACTCATGTTCTGAGACGTAGATTCCCCTATCTGTCGATAGTGAGTGGCGTACGGAGGCCAACAACGTTCTCTTTGTCTGGGGCTAAACACCAGCATTTGAGGGTCAAGTGGCGCTCTCGTCACCTCTCCTATATCAGATCTTAATGGGTCGAACAAATTGCTTTTCTATTGACGGTCGTCTGGACAGAAGGCAACGGCAGGAGGAGGTACTACAGCCGAGGCTGTAAAGTCTCCAGGAGTGCTCGGGTATGCGATGTTTCGCCATTTCTGCATAGAAATAGAGCTGGTGAGACCGATAACAACCCATTTGTGGGGGTTTCCCAAAACTAGGAGCGGTGGAGAAGAGCGACTGTTTAAATGATGCAATGGGCCTAGGTTGGCAACCGCTAATTACGTAAACGCAACAAGTTAATTCACCCTACAAAGTGTCTGACCGTCCACTTATATGACCCCAATTTCTACAAAACTGACGGCTGGACACCGTGGGATGTTATATACGACTAGACAAAACCCGGATCTTCGGCCGTCCCAACCCGATCAAGCGAAGCCGATGCGGGTACCCAATGCAGCGTCGCCGCATACGTGGCCTTCAGCCAGCTTCACCGCTTGCCTACCTTCTTCGTGAAGCCCGTCAGGCATTTCCTGCAAGAGGCAGTGGAGACCTAAGCTGCTGGCCATAATCTGTACAGTAATTCACCTGGCCGTTCATTCCATGCAACAAAGAAGCACGCCGACAAATGCATTCTCTGTACGTATAGCAGCAGTCTAATGAGCTACCATTAAAAACGAAAGAAGCCAGAGAGCACAAGGCGGATTCTGCAACAGCCTATCAGCTCTTTTCACAATCGATATTTGTCTGCGGCAAGCGCTTTTTGTGCCTTTACTACTTTCCCTGCATGCTCTTCAATTCAGCCCATTACTATGCCCGAATTGCACAATGCTGAAAGTATTCGCTCTACATACAACTCCCAAACCCTCCTACCAAGTGGAATAACTCGCACTTGCCAAGTTCGTTTATCCGCGTTTACTCGTCTGTTTCGTCAGAAATCGTTTGTTTCTTTCTTGTTCACTTTACCCCCTATAGCTCTCTAGATCAACAGGCAAAATACGGGTTAGCCCCAACCGAACCAAAAATTCCGGAGAAGGTGGAGTTCTGGTGGAGTTCGTTTTAACGAAGCAGAGGAAGGGGAGGCAGACAATACACCAAGTTTACTGCACCTACCTAGATATCGAACTTGGAACGAAGGGGGAACCAAGATGAATGGATCATACACAGCAAAGAAACATACAGCTACACCAAATCCGCATAAGAAATATACAGACGAAGGGTCTCCCGGAACAGCTCATCCAGATGCACATATGATGAAACAAAGCCGCCAAATAAAGAAGTGTAGGCCTATGGCTGGAATACGCAAACCCCAGAGCACGCAGAAACCTTTCTCAGGCCTCAGAGCGCACCTGTAGGGGGCGAAATATGTCGGACGTATTCTTTGGGTGGTAGCCGGGATGCGTATTTATATGTATGTAAACACGTACATGTTGATATACATGCATGATAACCTAGCAAGTCTGGTAAGGACGATACTGGCAAAAACGAAATGCGGATGAGGCGCACGGGAGCGACAACAACGAGAACAATGGCAATCAATATCTCATGAAGTGAAGATATATCAATGGTTCGAGGGGGAGAAAGCAGTAGGCGGGGTATGGGCCTGTCTGCCCTTCAAACACACCCAGGAATTAGGGAGTTATTCTTCGCAGGGCTTGAAACCGAGAACATCAACACCCAGGGGCTAGGTATATATATATATATATATAATATATATA